CAACAGGTGTCACTTCAAGCTGAAGGCTGGGCTTTGTGCACCAATCAAGAAGAGCGACAATGGATATTATGTTGGTGAGGCGAGAGAGTGTTGACATTGCCATATGAGTTCATTGTATTGCTCGTATTTGGCTGCTATCTTGGTGCATTGTGCTTTCTGCTTGGTACATGACTATCTGGTCTATGAAACGGTTTTCACCTTTACGGCAGCAGATGTCGTTCCCAGGGCTTGATCCCTAGACCTCTTCCTTACCCGTGTACAGTATCAGTCGCCCTGTGCATGTTTGAACCCGCGACCTGTGTCTTGGAAGTCGCATGTGTACTTACTGTAGGTCGTTTGGTCCTTGGGTCTCGAACTGTAGGTCTGTAGGATAGAAGTCACAGCTGTGGTAGAAGTCGTACCTGCTACAATCCCGAAGGGTCCAGGTCGTAGCTGCTACAGTCCCGAGAGGTCAAGTCTACAGGCTTCCGGAAGGTCCGGAAGCGACCTTTCTTAAGGTCTTAAGAGTCAGTCTAGGGGCAAGTAGGCAATTGGGCAGTCCAACCTCGCCTAGTCAGCGGTACCCAGTGCCGGTCGCACTTTGTCAAGTCAGCAAGTACCATGCAGGACTGTGTGCAACCCGGGCCCAAGGTCCGAAGGCAGACCAATGACAATCCGAAGTATAAATCAAAGGGCAGCGTCATGTCAAACATTCATTCTGCCTATGAGCCATGCGGAAGCACTGCCTGATCGTCTTGTGCAAAAAGGTCTGCAAGCGCCCGAGGGAGAAGAGGGCTAAGAGGAAGAAGACCGGCCATAGCCGAGGTGTTAGTGGTAGGAAGAAGATGGCGGCCATAGCCACCACGTCAGTATGTTAGTGGGTGTTAGCATGTGAGAAGAGTTGGTGTTGTGTGTGTGTCGGGACATCCAGGGAGATCCAGTGTATGTGTGTGTGCGTACGAATAAGTGCTGAGTGTGCAAGTGTCGGCCATAGCTGGTCAGGAGAGGTTTGAATCTGAGTTTCGTTCTTGGCTTCATTAACTATGAGCTTTGTGTGGGCACTAGTCGCCCAGTCTGATCGTCATCTGTTTATATGCACGCTGAAGGTCGGAGTCGACCAGTCTGATTGGATTGGTATCGGTGCTGGTTCCCACTGTCCCACTGGAGAGTGATTGCCGCCCACCACGTCACCATCGCAAGCGCTGCTGGTCATCATCGTCATCATCGCCATTTGTAGGAAGGGGGGAGGCGCCCTGCTACGCGATTGAGTTCGCGCCTCGCTAATAGCTGCGTGCAGATTTCCCGTGCGAGCCAGCTCTTCCCGGCTGCCCGCTGTTGAGCGCGTTTTCGCATCCATCACTGCGCGCTCCCAGTAGCTGTAAGTGTCGCTGCCGCTCGCTGCCCGAGGTCGCGCCCGCCGCCATATAGCGAGCTCGCTGCGCACTGCGTTCGTTTTGCGTGCGCTTTGATAGTACGCGCACCGTTTCTCGCTGCCAGCACGCGGATCATTGTGCCTTGCGCCCTTGCTATCCCCCGCTTGTTGTCGCCCGTATGCATCAGATCCCATGCGCGTAGCTGTTGCACGCCAGGTCACTTGATTGTCGTCGCCTGTGCGCCAGTATCGCTGTTGAAGAGAATCACTGGGAGAAAGTCACCCCGCCGCAGAGGAAAGACCACCGGGGAAGAAGACCGTTGCGCCAAGGTTGGAGACGAGCGGCCACAGCTACGGTACCTGCGAAGAGGAAGGAACGATGCCGAGAGAGAGAGAGAGAGAGTGAGAGAGAGAGAGAGAGAGAGAGAGAGAGAGAGAGAGAGAAAGAGAGAACTGAGGATACAAAATTGGTTGTTGCAGGCGAGGAAGAAAGGTGGCGGCCATAGCCACCGAGCTCGAGTTGAGCAAGGAGACAACCGTGTGGGAAGACGAAATGACGAAGAAGAAGAGAAAGGAAGTAAGGAGGAAGAAGAAACGATCAAGGAAGAAGAAGCCATAGTCGAGGGTGAAGAAGATGAGAGAAGGAGAGAGGTGAAAGTTGGTGAAGGAGAGAGGGTCGGCAGCCATAGCCAAGCTTGGAGAGTTGACCGGCGACGTTGACTGGGTTGACCAAGGTGTTGACCAAGTTTGACCGCCCGTTGACCAGCATTAACCGGAGCTGTTGACCTCGAGTTTGACCAAGCTGGAGTTGGTATAATCTCGCCCTATGGATGTGGACTCACCCCATGGCACTTGCTGAGTCTACCTGTCTCCTCTTTCTGCATTGAGTCACTTCTGCCCAGGTGATAGGAACTCCATGTATGTGGTCGTAGAGCTGTGTTGACCAAACCCACATGGGCTGAGTAGGGCTGCTGTCCATGTCTGACGGCTGACACGTCTCGGAGGCCTAACCCTCCCAAAGACCGGTACCGACCGGCGGGCTGCTCAGTGTGGCATGGTTGGCCCAAAATCCGAGTTGTGGGCTGCACAACCAGCTGTCTAATTGTTGAGAGGACTGTGCTGATCACGTCGTCCTGTTTGCGGCGTTAAAGAATTCCTGAGGAGTTACGGGGGATCTCCTTAAATGCCTCCTGATCAGCGCTGAAGTCCTGTAGTGACAGCCTTAGCAATAGGTATAGGCTAGAGACCATAGAGACAGGATCCCAAAAGGATTTTGTAGTCCTTAAAGAGTCGGTCAGTCAGTCTGTGGGTAGGTCTAAGTGGTGAGGTGCGGAATAGTCACTTGTTGTACACCATCACCATGGATGACTATCCGATGTACGGCTTGCTCGCGGGGTTCTCCCTGTGGGGGACCCTTTGGCGCCTCCTGTTTCCTCTAGGCTTTTGGCACACACGTCCACGTGTAGGGTCGAGACAAGGGGTGGTACAAGGACCACTCCTTATACAAAGGAGAAGGAGCAGGAAGCCGCGAAAGATATTAGCCGAGCAAAAGGCTAGGAGGGAGAAAAAGGAGTTGCAGAAGAAGGTGAAGAAGTAAGCACTCTTGGAAGAGAAAGCTAAAAAGGAGAAAGAGTTGGAGGAGTTGAAGAGGCTGCAGAAGGAGAAGGAAGAAGTTGCAGCCTCAGTTGAGGAAGAAGAAGAAGAAGAAAAGATTCCCCTGGAAAGAAATGTGAGGAGAGAAGACGGAGCCAGTGGACACAAGGCTGGAGAGGATGGTGACTGAGTGGGTGGCGAACCTGTCGCTAGAGGAAGAAGAAAAGTGATGTTATATGTTCCCCAGGCCGAGAGAGAGGTGACGGTGAAGGACATTCAGGCGAAGACCAACCCCTTGCGCCGACAAAATATGGAGGAGAAGAAGCAGGCAGCTCCCGACCTCGCATACAGCAACACAAGCATGCTACTGGTTCGTCTGTAGCTGCTGCACCTCAATCCGGATCGCTGCTCCTGCTTCCGCTCGCTAAGCCACCTGTTAGCTCGCACGCGTGGACGTTCGTGCAGGCCACTTGCCTGCATACTGTAACTAACTCACCCCTCTGCCTCTTGCTCGATTCAAATTTGAAATTTGTCTCCTTCCTACTTGCTACTCTTCCCACTCGAAATTAGTTACATATCATACATGCCTCCTCCTGCTCTTTACTATCTGTATTTGGGCCTTGCGTGCTACCTGGTACATCGGACTTATTTTCCAACCACTATGAAAATTGTGTGCTTTCCCTTAAGGGTCCCCGCTACAAAGTTCAAACAAGGGAAAATGGAGAAATTAAAACTGGCAGAACTTTTCCAAAGAAACAGAAAACAAAGGTATTTGCCTAAGCCCCTATAATGGGGTATGGCGTGTGAGAACCCCCTTCTAGCTATCATACAACCACGCCCGCTTTTCTAAAGTGGGCAGGAAATCCTAAACAGTGGGGCGTATTAGTGCAGAATTTAGAGAACAACCGAGAAACTTCAGCTGGGAAAGCGGAAAAAGGAAAAAAAAGGAAAAAATATGAGAAAAACTTGGGAGTTGCATAATCTAACGGGAAGCTCCTGGTGAAATAAACCGAAATTTACTTATTATACAGTCACACCCGCTTCCTTTCGGTAGGAGGGAACTCCTAAAATTGCCAAACGAAGTGTATATTTACTGAAGTAAATGCAAAAGTGCGTAGTAGTAACTTAGTATCTGAAGTGAGTGACTATCCTTCCCCGCTACTTTACTATCTCCCTAGATCATATTTATAGGTCTAAGCAGATGTTTACCATAGCCGAAGGGATAGTCCTCCTGACGATTTCCCATTCGGCTATGGTCCCCCTTACAACTTTCGCCAGGGATCTGCTGAAGAATGTCGGGGAGTACCCCCGGAGTTCCACCTTGACCACGAGGGCCAGCAGGAGCTTAGCGTAATTCCTGTTCGTCATCTGTTTGATCCTGTGTATCGAGCTGGTGACGACACCGATCTTTGCTCTTTTGTTTGAAAATGAGCAGAAATCTTGGAAGGACCTGAAAGGTAGTTTCTCTTCCGCCAAGTACTCTTGGTTTTTCATTCTTGGCTCGATTAGAAAATGTACAGGTCGTGAACGTGCCACTACTATTTTCCCAATGAACTCGATTGAGTTCGAGTTGTCATCCATACGGATCAGCTGCAGCTTTGTGCCATAGCTCTCCTCAAACTTTGTGAACAATTGTACAACCCTTCACAAAGTACTATCATCACTTCTATCCACAAGTATCGTCGCTGCAACGTCGTCCATAAACCGAGATCAGTGGAATAGCGATCGGTCTTTGCACAGGGACTGCATGAAGCATGTCTCGTACTTGGCCCAGAGAATGCATGCTAAGGCAAGGCTGGAATTCTTACCCATCGGTATTCCAATCCTTTGCTTAAGCACTTTGCCTCTGCAGTCTGTATAGGTGTTATTGAGCTCAAACCTCACGTATCTTCTGATAAGCTCAGTTGCACAAAGGTCGGGCCCAGGCTCCTCTTGTTGAAGACTACTAGTTTCTTCCTTCTATTAATGTTGACTTTTGACGTAGCCTCTATCTTCCCATTGGCTTAGCAGCTAGTTTGTTGCTTCCATAAGTGCGGGATGGGGAAGAGGAGTAAACATTTCTTTAAGACCATGGCTTTGAGCAGAGCAAGCTCGCCCTTCTTCTCGAACTTATGTTCCGCCTTTCTCAGCTGCTCCTTCAGCATAGTTGTAGCTCCGAGGTTGAAGTGGTCAAGTGAAGGGAGCCTAGCAAGTAACGCGTTCAAGGCTCTGGCAATCCTTCTACTACTTGTCTTAGTAGGTTCGCAGTTGGCAGGGGCGATCGGCCTCCACTTCAGCAGATCTTTCTGCTTGGGTAGGATGTACGCCCTTCCTAGCTTTCCTTTTGTGTCCCAAGCTGCCACAACCTCGAGACTTGCCTGGCGGTAGGCCTCTCGGACTTCCTTTAGTACTTCCCTTTCGTGCACTGCGATTGGTACATGAGCCACATTTAGTGTGAACATCTTCTTCAAGCCAATTTGATAGGTAGATGGGCACATTACCACTACGTCTCCTGGGTTGCGATCAACAGGTGCAACCACAAGATGGGAGAGCATAGCCTTCACCGCTTTCGCTTCGTCCTCTTGAATAGCCATCGGTTCTCCAACCTTTATCTTGATATAGTCGTCGATGTTGAGGAGTCCTGGGGAAACATTTGTCTTACTCCCCAGGACTTGCTTGAGTCCTTGGCAGATTGCCAACTTGATCTGCAGGCTTCTGCACACTTTCGCCGTCTTGATGATGTTCTTGCCATTCATTAGGTCGTGTTGTATTCCGCTCAACTCTGTTATTGTGGAGCAAATGTGCCCGTCTAGTCTTGGAGAGTTGTCGAGCTCACACACACAAGTTGCCTCCCATACTTGAGCTGCGTTCATATGGTTGCAGATCGTTCTCGTAACTGTGTAATTCTTCCGCCAAACAACTTTGACCTTTCTCTTCAGCATCCCCTTAACTGCCTGATGCAGGGTCGTTTTGTCGATCTCCTCGGTCACCTTCGCCCAAACTTCTCCCTTCTTAATCATGTTGTCGTATCCCAACTTCACAATTATCTACGTTTGATGCCAATCCCTACTTTGGCGGAGATAACCTTGGTGAGAACGTCCTTGATAGTCCTAGTATCTTTCTGGTGGAATTCTCTTGCTGAACTGTAAGAATGCAACAACTTCCCGGTGTCGAACTTCAAGAGCTCCTTCCTCCTCCATGGAAGTTGGAGCGATCTGAGATAACCTTTTCCTCGCTCTCGTGCATTCAGTGCTTTCTTCATAGGTGTTCGCAAGAATGTACCTACTCTTTCGATCGCACCTTTTGCACCTGCTAGCGGCATTTTTTGGCCTTCAACTAGAAGCGTTGAAGTGACATAGACACGTTTGAGTGTTGCCCAGTTCTCTCCCCAAACATGCCCAGCACTGCAATTGAAGTTTAAGGTACTGACATGTGCCACTACCATCCTATCCAATAGCGAACGTAGGCTAGCAGCCTGCTCTGGGCTACCTGGCCGAGAGAAGCTAATGAGTTGCTTACTAAATTCCCTGTTCTCTATCATTTCCCGTTTCCTTTTCTTCTCTGATTTCCTCTCCCTTTTTCCCTTTCTATTCTTCTTCTTGTCCTTCGGCCCTGTACCTATCGAGTTGAGGGCTGGAGAAAAGCGCTTAATAAGGTTACCTTCCACTTGGCTCAAATCCGCCACTATGACCGAGGCTATAGGAAGGACTATGTACTTCTCCCAGCCAAATCTACGGAGCCACTTGTATAGTTGTGGCGAATGTCCCTGACTGGCGTCGACTGTACATCTTACGTGCTCCCACCATCTCAGCTCCACCCCTCTTGTTATTTGCCCTATATATAATTTTCTACACCATGGTGAGATAAAACGGTAAACTACAAGCTGCATAAAATCAAAAAAATTATGATCTCTTGGGACTACTTTGACAATCTTTTCAGCCCACGACACTTTGCCACTTTTAAGTTAAAATCAATAAGCACGCTGACAACGCCTTCTCTATCGTAGACCTTACCTTGGCTAGGCCAGATAGCCCCCAAATTCTTTTTCTCAGCCTGCACAATCTCACCATCAGGTCCCACACCTCCCTATCTGGGGGCTGACCCCGTCATTCAGAGTCAGGGGCATCGTCCTCCACGCCATCTCCATTAGGTCGTGCCTCCAAGAAATTAATTTGTTCCTCGATCCAGCCTTCGTACGTCATCTTCGTATGGATCCTTACTTGCTCCTTGACCGCTATTTCTTTCTTGAGGTATTTGATGCATTCAATCTCACAAAGTGTGACGCACGTTGTCGGAAGGCGATGCGATGCAGCCACGGAAGTTGACTCGTTGCGGTCAACCTCCGCGCTGCGTCAAACCCGCGCCACAGAACTGTCCACGACCTCGGTCAGTTAGGCCCTAGCGCATTGGTCGAAATTCCCTTAGGCCGAAGCCACGAAAAGGACGGCACGGCAGTATAGCCCTCTGGGGGTCTGATCATCCCCTGTGGACTGAACCGTCGCGACCGCAAGGAGGGAATTAGTGGGGTCCGGTCCGAACGGCACCTGAAACAGACCAAGGGTTAGTGAGATATTCAAGTTTGACCGGTTGGGACCGGACCGACACGGCCGCGTAACCTGGTCGGAAGCGGAATAGTCCTAAAACAGTCACATAATTAAATAACCCGGCCCTAGTAATAATTAAGATGGGGCCATGTGCTATTTTAGGGACGGGACTGACTGTTCATTTCCCAAAGTCGGGCCTGCACCAGTCCTGTGCTAAAATTAGCACAGTCCCACGCTATTTTTTGTGTGGGACCGACTGTTCGTCTATCGGGGACTGGGCCTGCGCCAGTCCCGTGCTAAAATTAGCGCAGTCCCACGCTATTTTTAGCGTGGGACTGACTGTTCAGTTGCCTGGGACTGACTGTTCAGT